GCCTGTCATTACAGCCCCACACAAGCTGAGGCCACCCCGACCCCCACTTGCCTGCCACCTCTGCCTCCACAGCCTGGCTGCGTCTTGCCCCACAGAGGCCAACCTGTCTCCACTCAGACAGGATAAGACGTATGTACCTCCTGGGGGCGCTGCAACTACAAGCTGAGACAGGGTCTCTCAGCCCACCCTCCTGGGGGCATTGTAACTGCAAGCTGAGACAGGGTCTCTCTCAGCAAACCCCTACAAGATGAGCTAACCAGTGAGCACACGGCCCCTGGCCAGCACACAAGGGGACATGAGAGGAGCACACTGCAGGCTCCCAGCATGCCTGTCCAGCATGAGTGGGGATGCTGAGCCTACCTGAGGACCAGGTGGGAAGCCAGGGTCACACCCACGTGGCTCCAGAGGGAGCAGGAAGCAGTGTTGCTCCTCCACAGCACCCTGAGGGTGCCGGCTGACCAACCTAGTGCCGCTCCCTGCTCTGGACAGCATGGTGGCTGCCTATGGCCAGGCCTCTCCCATGGGACCAAGGCCTGGGCCCCTTGCCTGAGGCTTCCGGAAGAGGCTCCCCAGCCCTAGCAGGGCCGCAGGGCGGGCGAGGAACTCAGCCTTGGCGAGGAACCCGAGAACGCCTGCAGGCTGGCTTCTGTCAGCAGCTGAGGACAAACAACAGGTGCGGCAGGGCCACCCGTGGGGAGGGCCAGGTGCAGCCTACGCCTTGCTCCAGACAAGATGCCAACAGGAAGCAACGGTGCAGGCAGCGAGGAGACACCCCAAGGGACAATCGTGAGGGCCAGGCCCCCATGGACTGCCAGCTCTGAGCCGAGCCCACCCCACCCGTGGGCCTGCTGCCCACACACCTCTCCCCGCCTGGAGCACTCCGCCCAGGCACCTCTGGGGCAACCTCCTCACCACCTCACCCCTCCCCAGCAGGCCTTCCCCAGCAGACCATGAAAAGCCACCCACACACCCTGCCGTCACCTGCAACCCCATCCTGGCCTTATTTTTCATTTTGTATTATGAAATCATAAGTCTCCTCAGAAATTTAAAGGTGCAAAGGGGGCCCATGTTCCCTCCCCAGGATGGCATCCACATAAGCAAATGCACTTTCCCATGCAGGAAACTGCGCAGGGCTGGGACCTGGACACCAGGCCCAAATTGGACTTCCCCAAGTTTGGCACGTGCTGTTTTTGTTTTATCTGACACACAGAGGTCCGCCTAGCCAGCTGCGCTCACCACGCAGGCTGCTCGCTCCCACAGAGGCACTCACAGCCGCTTCCTGTCCCACTGTGCTCAGCACCAGCCCTGGCCACACCAGCAGAGATAGACAGATGTAGGCACCTGAGATCCAGTAGGGACCAGGCCTTCCTGCATGGCAGGTACCCACACACAGCGGGTGTGCAAATGGTTCCGGAGCAGCTCTTTCTGTTCTCTCCATCCCCACTTGTGCTCTGCTCAGGCCCTTGGCTGGGTGACAGTAAGGGCCACATGTCTCCACCTGGGCACTAGGCACCCTCATGTGGAGGAAGCAGGGGTCACCAAAGCGACAGGTTCTGTGGGGAGGCACATGATAGGGACTCTACACAGGCCAACAGCCTGGCTCATTCATTCAAGAGCTGCCACATGACCAGGAGGTGTGGAGCTGGGGAAGGGAGCTCAGATCCCTGTCTTGGGCTAACCCTGGTGGTGAGGCCCAGAAGTCTCCCATGGCTCCAAGCTGCTTCACAGTGGCAGACAGGTCAACAGACCTCGCTGCAGGCTGTTTGAGACAATGTGGGGCAAATCCCAGGCCTCCTGGGGCCAGGCCCTGATCAATGAGCTCTGCACGTGGATGCTAGAATCCCAGTGAGTTGGCACTGTCACTGTCCCCACTACCCTAATAGGGAGGAGCCTGATAACTGAACTGGGCCTGGCCTTCAGCTGGGGCAGTCCTGCAAGCTCTAACTCCAACACAGGGCATGCCTTATGCCCAGCAGCCCCAAGACCCTGCACCGTCATCACAGACCCCTAGGGCTTGGCTCTCCACCTGGTATGCAGCAAAGGTCTCAGTGAATGGATGTCAAGTTGACAGCAAGGTCCTCTTAAGAACAGGGAAGGCGACCTGCAGAGAAGCAGCTGGCCCTTCTAAAATAGCCCCAGGAGAGGTTCCAAATCCAACCAGGCCTGGCATAAACCTCAGCCCCTGATATGCTTTTGGTCTTGAGTAGACAGATAGCCCTTCAGGCCAGGCTAATGCTCTGCCTGGACACATGATCCCAAACTCTCCACCTCCTTTCCTGCCTGCAGACCACTGAATGTCCTACCAGCCCAAAAAGACCCTGGGTGGGTCATCTGCAGTAGTGTGCCTCCTCTTGTAACCTCGCCCAGACCTAGGGGCTGGCACGAGCCACCTGCAACCTACCCCAGGCAGCTCTTCCATGTGTTGGGGCTTGGCCTCTACATAGTTACACAGCAGAATCACACAGGGTGTTAAGTCCCAAGAGGACCCCTTCAAACTAAAACAGCAGCCTAAAAGGGGACCCAGGCAAACAATCAAGCACAGAAGTTCTTTGGGGATGCTCTCTAATCACAGCAAGTCCTTCTTGGCTCCCTGGGTCCCTGTAGGACCAGGCAGGCAATACAG